ACTTGAATAAGAAGGAACTATTGAAGATTATTAATTGATTTTTGCAGGAGCAAAAATTTTCTGAAGGAGGACCAATACAAATGATTATTAATATATTTAATATATTAGATTTAATATATTATTATGCAAATAATTACTATATGTATTTATATTATTAATTTAGATAATTAATATTTTTAATTAGATTTCTTTTAATATTTTTCTTTATAATTTTATTTATTCTTTTTAATTATTATTTATAATATTATTTATATTATTTATAATTATTAAATATAGTTAGTTACTTTTCAGAAATATGAATTAAATTATTAATTATATTTAATATATATGTATTTTAATTAGAAATTATTATTAATTTATTTACACTTTGTATTTATTTCTTTTATTATAAATATATTCTTTCTGTTTTATACTTTTATCTCAGATCTGAATATTATTCAAATAATAAAATCATAAGTTTATAAATTAAAACTATTTATATTATATTTTATCTTATTTAATAATATTTCAGAATATTAAAAATAAAATTTTATCTGAAAATATTATAATTTTTCAATATTTTTTTGTAATATTTTTTTATATATTTTACTCAAGCTGGATAAGATTTTTCTAAAAGTAAAGATATAGTTTTTGAAAATTTTGAATAATATTCATGCTTATTAAGCTTATGATTTACTATTTACACAAATATTTCAATCTTGAATTGAAGATTTATAGTAATTTTACTATAGATAAAATACTTGTTATTTGTAATAATTCTTTTAATATATATTGATCTTGAGAAGTTAAAATTATAGAATATTTTAAATGAGAAATAGATTTAAATTATTAATTTTTTTAATTAAGTAGTTTATTTATATATTATAAAGAGAAAAATATTACTTTTTTACTTAAGATATCATGAATATCATATTTTTAAAGATAACTTATAGTTTCTTGTTAATTAATAATTAAGATTTCTTTTATTTATAATAAAAAAAGAGAAAAAACAAAGATTATTTTTTTTAGATGTGTTTTTATATTATATTAATAAATTAACTATCATTAAATCATAATTATATATATTGTATATAGTTAAGTTTTTTTATATATAATTTGTATTACTTTTGATTTTTATTACTTATGACAATAACTATAGTTAATATTTTATAATAATATTTATTTTATCTTTATTTTAACTATTTAATTAATTTATATTTTACTAATAATATTAATATTTAATTAATTTTTTTGATTTTAATTAGCTGATCTGTTTTTTAAACTAGAAATTTAATATTTATAACAATAAATTTGCAATAACTAGCTATATTATAAATTATACTTTATTATACAGTCTATATAAAAGTAATAACAGATAGTTTTTTAGAAATGAACAAAATCTAGTATAAAAATATATATAAAAATTCATATTTAAAATGCTTATAAACAGGACTTTATATTCTTAAAATATTTGTACTTAATAGAAAATATATATAAAAATTCATATTTAGAATGCTTATAAGCAGGACTTTATATTCTTAAAATATTTATATTTAATAGTCTTCATTCTGTATTAATTCTAATTTGAATGCAATTTGATATAGAAATAATGCTCTTAAGAACTAGCTTCTCAAAAATATATCTTTTTTCTCATTTACTAACATAATGAAAAATTTTTTGCAATATGTTCAGCTTTTATTATATCATTATCTTAACTCTTCTTTTTATATTTCTAACTGAAAAATAATTGTTTATTAAAACTATATCAAATGCATATTGTATGCTATGCTATAAATATTTCATGAAATTTTTTAAAAAGAGGTTTTATATGAATAACTAAAAGCAAATAATTGAAATTTGAGTATTTTATAAAGATAAATAATGACATGGTTATTTAAGACATTTTGCAGAATTGCAGAGTCAATTTTTTGGTTTATTGATGATAAAGACGATGATTATTGCGTACTGTTGACAATGTCAGGATAAATCAATAAGTAATTTATTATGTCCTGTGCACATCTCAGCAGATTCACACAACCAAAAATCTGTTCGCCATTGCTTTCCGTGCGGATTGTATATATTATATCTAACATTATCTCTGCGCTGATCATTCACCAAACCATTCCAAAATTATAATTTCTGCTTTTAATAAATGACTTTATATTCAGCACTTCTAAAAAGTACTTCATAATTCTTGAGTCAGTGAGTTCAAAATAGTTAATATCACTTCGAATGATGTATTTCAGGTAAAGTCACAGCACAAAAATTTCCTTCTGTGAATTCGTACTGAGCACCGATAATGTTAGGTAATAATTTGATTTTGAATCCAAGTCTATTCTTCGTAGTTGAGCATAATATTTTTGTCAAGACTCATTTGTAGCTGAATCTTAGTTATTCCAAGTTTAGGAATAGCAGCCTGAATCTACTTTAAAAAGGATCATTCTTATTATTTTCTTTGAATCATTCGTATCATTTAAATTTATTTTTTATATAATTCCATCCATCACAATGATGATGCTTTGTAAAATGTTCTAAAATCTCTTTTAACATGTTCTTCATATTTGTAAACTTTTCAAATAAAAATCATTCTATCTGACTATCAATGCCTTAATTTCTGCTATATCATTAAACATTATTACTGTATGTTAATTGAAAATTCAGCGATCATGTATGTGATAATATAATTTATTTCTCATAAATATATCGGCGACATTTAAAAACCCGACAAACGAAATCAAACAAAATCCTAAACAAATGACATCCTGAATGATCGGAATTCCGAAAGCACGATAATTTTTGGTATTTCTCAAGTCACTTAATACAACCAATCTATAAATTTGGCAAATTGATTGTTTATTTAAATCGATCGAGGAACTAAAATTAAATAACATTGATTATATAATTATTTCTGTCACTTTAATTAATAAACTTATTCATTAATAAGAATTCATACATTCTAGAGATATTGTAAAAAATTTTTCAAAAAAAATACAATAAATTCAGGAATATATTTTAGATCATAATAAACCTTTCTAATGATTAAATTGTTAAAAATGCTTAAATAACCATTTATGATTAATATATTTTATTTTTCTAATTGATAGAGTAATAACTTTTTGAGAATGACATGTTAGAGAATGGTTGAGTAAATACTCGAGCTGTATATTTTTGGGATCTATTCATTTGGGATTTCACTTGTCATGCTAATGAACTGTCGGTATTGTGATTTTGCCGCATTTATATTTCAAAGTCATATATAATTTAATAATCTATATTAGCCTTCGCATGTGATAAAGAAACTGTATAAAGGAATAAGATTTAGGTTACAATCTGATTCAAGTGCATCTTATTTATCAAATTCTGAATTCGTTCAGATTGGACTTGGAAGATTGAAAGATGCACGAAAATATCTCAATAAGCCACACAGTAAGATGAATTAATCGACTCTCCTGATGTGGTTCAGTGATTGAAAGATTTATGATATTCGAAATGTAATATACATAATTTACATATCTAAAATTTGGTGTAAAGCACAAATCTTTAAATACATAGATGTGCATTATCAGTTCATTATAGTTGAAAAATTCATGAACAAATTAGTGACTATTCTAAAACAGTAAATTACTTACGAAATTTTGATATATATAAATATAAATATATATATAATGAACACGGAAGTTGTTTGTTGCAGTTTTTATATATATATATATATATATCAAAAACAGGTCTCAGGGCAGAGAAGACGTTCGCAGTATATGATTTGGGCATGCAGAGAAGTTTTTCTTGTATATTATAGAGTTTTTAACCGAAAAAAGGGTTTCCCAACTTTTCCAGAGTGGATAAGTAGATATCGATAATGATGTAATACGCAAATCTAATACATGTACATGCACATGTATCAAAACAAGTTTTTCTAAATCTGGAAATTCATTTATCCACATTTTAAGATTGCACAAAAACTAGTGCATTCACTTATTTAATAAACCTGCTGTTTGCAGTTTATTTGAAATTTCACTTACCAGAAGAAATGTCATTAAGAGTGCTTTTCGTTTTTTTGTCATGTATTATTTGCTCATCGGCGTCTCTAGTAGGTGTTTTGAGGATTTTTATTAAAAGCGTATTTGTATCTATTAATAATGCTTATCACACATCTAGGTAACAATACTTGCAGTTGGTAAAACTGGCCTTGGTAAAAGCTATACTGCTACACTATTTGGATGTGATGCGAAAGTTGCTCACGATATAAATTCAAGGACGAAGAATGTGACGATCCACCAATGCGGGGAATACGAATATATTGATACACCTGGGTTCGATGATGAAACATTCATCAACATCATAGCCACGATGCAAAAGAAAAACGTTAATAAGTTGCATACGTTGTTCTGGTTCGTGGGTGAATCTTATAAAACAACTGATACTCTTCAGAACCAAGCCAAATTTATTGAAGCACTTGCGAAGGACAATACAAATAATGTTTGGGAGAATGTAATAGTCATCTATAAGGGGACTTATAACACGTTTAATAAGGATGTTATTCAAGGTGCTATTGAGGAAGACAAGAAGAACTCTGTTCCAATCTTGCCAGTATTTTTATATGACGAATTCCCACTTAATAGTCCCATTCGCAAACAAAGCGATGAAGAATTGCGTGAACTTGGAATCTACAAGGAGGAGGAACTACGGAATATGTACAAGAAAATCATAAAAGAAAAGCGTCACAAAGACCATCCGATTCGAATTGTCTTTAATGATGAAATATGTACCAAATGTGGACTAAGAACCGATCGAAGATTTGCGGGGAAATTTCCGTGCCATACCAAGGAAACAATCATACGTGATGCGGAACCAAGATACACAGAACACTATCATAACGGCGTTCTCGAAACCGAATATGACAAAGAATGGGAAATTTTATGGGAAATTCCAAAAATAAATTTAGTTGGTAAAATCGATAAAAAAAGAACTAGGCGGAAGGTATGGTCCTGCTGTGGAGGGAGTAAATATTCTGTTGGCTGCCAGAGTGTAATTGAAACCAAGAAAATTTGTAATTCCTGCAGACGGACTTGGGGAAACACCGTTGGCTGCTCCAAGTATGCAGAACACAACTTTATTAAATCCAATGGAAATATGTTACCTTATAGAACTTATGATGAATTATAAAACTTTTTGATGTAAAATTAACAGTATTAGTCAGGCTTTATTTGTGATCATGATGTGAGATAGAAACAAGATTGGGATTATAGCTTTGTTTTGCTAAAAAGAAAGGATTTGTTATTAATCTGGAGCTTTAGATTTTTTCATTATTTTGGTAGGTTATGTTTTTGTCACTTTCTATTATTTGTATTTACTATTTTAACTTTCGTTTTTTAGCTATTTCTTCATTATTACTTTATTATTATATTTACTTTTTTAGTAGTATTCATCATTAATTTCTTTTTAAAGCTTCATTCAGATCAGAATTAGAATAATTGATCTAAACTGAAAATTTCAGTTTGAATTTGATATTAACCAGATCAGATTTAATTCAAAGCGGAAACAATCTGAGATGATAATATTCAGGTCTTTTCAGGTTCTGAATTGATCTGATACTTAAATAATATATATATTATTTGTAATATTACAATTGAAATTTAAAGTTTATTAATTTTTCCAGTTATTAATCTTGTTTAGATACTTTCTTTAGTGATATTTTTCATGTTAATCAAAAAATAATATAGCAATATTAATAATTAATAAATTATTTTGAATAATATTATAAGTTCATTATTTAATATATTAATATATAGGAATATAAATATAAAATTATAATTATTATTAAGTAATTATAAAGAAATAATTAGAGTTATATAAAAAGATCATTTGTTCTCTTTGAATATATCTCAAATATATTAATAAAGAAATAGAATCAAATAATAAAGTTGAAGAATTATTCAATTATATTTAAAATTAAGAAAATGTTTAAAAAAGAATTTGATAAAGTATATAAACTGTTTGAAATAAGAAAGAAATTTATATTAAAATCAGCCAAGATAATAAAAGGGTTATTATATAAGATAATTAATACTAAAAACAATATTTAAAATAAGTCTTATTTTTATAGCTATTTATTCTCATTATTAATAATTTAATAAAAGCTTTCTTTTTAATGTATGTCGAAACAACACACACCCAATCATAAATAGAATTCTGAGTCACTTGTATGTACATGTAACATGGCCGTAATTGATATAACGTTACCTATTATCTCGTATTTGTACTATTATTTCAAACAATTCACGCATTTATAAAGTGAACTCAAAATGGAAACAAATACTCATCATTGTAGTAAATGTCGTTATTGTCAAGAGAATAGATACTGCGATAAGCGTTTAGTTCACAATACTCATGATTGTAACAAATGTGACATGGGTATTGCGAAGACTATTTCAAATACATGTATTACAAACGAATTTATAACGATGAATTTCTAGAGAAAAGTCTAATAAAGGATCCAACAAAATTAATAAAAAATATCAATATAAATTATTCGAATAGATTCCTGAAATATTTAACAACATTGAATATCTTGCAAAAGGAGGAATTTATAGAGCAACTTGGTTGGATGTCCCAAGTGGAATTATGCAGAAAATAAATTTAAACGAGATGAAGAAATTAAAAACTACACAATTCAAAGCAAATTACTCAAGAGTTTACATAAGCGGTAAAAATAAACATTTCTAAAATGAAAATTGCTTTTTGTTCAAATTTTCAAAAATAGTCAGTTATTAATTATTACGGAATAACGATAACTAAAAATCCGGTTATGGAGATCTCCGTAAATTAATTTCCAACTACGAAAAATATTGATTGGACTTTCATACTGGAAATATATTAATATTATTGGATAGATAGCTGATTTTGGCTTAGCTTTCAACAAATATAGAAAAATTTAACCAAGAATTAGTACCGTATTTTGCGGAAGAATAAAAGCAACATCCCCTTATAGATTTTTTTACCCTCTCAATAAAAAATATATGCCTGTATACCCTATTTTATTGTTAAACTTTAATGTAACGTTAATAAATATAATGATATATTTTAAATTTTTATCAATAACTTAAATATAGATATGTAATGCATCACATTCGATGACCAATTAAAATTAGTTTTTAACGAAGCAGCGGATCAAAAGTTTGGCATTATTTTTTAAGAACAATACGGGGATTTGCTTATATTCCGCAAAATACGGTACTTCCTTATATGAGTCCAGAGGTGGTAAATTGGAAAGTCATACACTAACGTTGCAGATGTTTATAGTTTGGTAATCTTTGTGCACGAGGCTGTAACAGGTGAAAGACCATTTTATGAAAGAAGTCATGGTAGAGATCTTGGCTTAAACATTCATAAAGGAATACGACCAACAATACCATACAATGTTCCAGATAATGGTAATTTATTATGGAAAACTGTTGAGATCCTGTTGCTGAAAACAGGTCAACTGCTGGGGAAAGTTTGGACTTATCAAATATGATGAATATGACTATGGTGTATTTATGTGAAAACTGAATACTTTGCATTTTCAGTACTACAGCTCTCTTTAGAATATCCTAAAACACATGAGAAAATAAAAGAATGCATTAGACTAAAAAAGTAGAGATTAGATAAGCTGTATGAGGAGATGAAAATAAAAATCTTTTACGAATATAAATAAAAACAACAAATCCCAACTGATGCAGGAAACGAACATCTATTTTTATATCTAATTAAAATGACATCAATATTTAGGTTCTACAAGTGATATTTTGTATGTTCCAAATGAAGGTAAATTAACTATCACATGCAACTAAGCATTTTGAGTGCATCGATATTGATTTTACTGCATTTTTTGAAAATAAAGATAACGATGACAAACTCAATTTATATGAACATGTACATGAATCGAGTGAAGCAATTATTTTTGATATTTGATATTCTTTTTTATTGATTTCTTTAATTCATGATTATTTTTTGACGTCAGATGTAATTAAAGAGAATGCGGATAACATATAAAGGAAAAACTACAAAATTCATGATTGTAGTAAATGAACTTATTGTCAAGAAAACGATCGTTTCAATGAATTTTGACAATCACTATCAACTTTATAAGATGCATTATTTAGCAAAAACAAGGATATTGGTACGTATATTAATTGAATAATTCTACAATGCCGCGTCTGCAACAAGCAAAAAATTTTTTAGTGTTTTAACTACAATCGCAGCTCAATGTAGCCTCTCACTGTATAGTCACAATTTAGAAATAAATGTCCTCTTATATTTACCAACTTATATATAAGAAATTTATTTTTATAGTCACTATCATCTTAATCACACTTAATTTTGTCACGCAATTCTGTGATTATATCGAGGTGCGTCTATATTCGTAAGTTTGCGCGCGTTATGTATATGATAATAGCTCAGAGGTTAAAAAAATTAAGATTTTCTTAATAATATATCATAATAGATCGAAGTAAAAATGATAAACTTTTAATAATAAGAAAAGGTACGTGTAAATAAGAGATAAATTTCATTAGGAGTGGAAACGGACACCTCAAAGTAAATACATTTGACCCACAAGCTTGTGAAACCTATAGTCATTTGTAACGTTAATACGTGCACTTACGTATTTTCTTATAAAACGGAAATTATTACCTCAATTATCATTCTTTCCATCTTGATTGAGATCGTTCTGATTCAACGATAACTTTCCCCGTTTATTTAATTCTTTCGACGCATTTTGATTAGAGCGTTTGTTTTTCGGTTTTATAATCTTTGAAAACTAGTTATTTATTAATTAATAGTATATGATGTTTTGAAGCGTTGTTTAAGAAAAAAATGTCGTATATCAATTTCATATCTGATATTGTAAAATAAACAAATAATCTTTATTGTGGCATATATTAATCAGTTTACCTTCATTTGCTTCGTTAAATGCATGTAAACTGATGTTTGTTGATTTGGCATTGATATCGATTTCATATTCGGTAGATGCTATAATTGAAAACAAGTATTATTAATATATTAATGTTAATACTGTAATTTTTTTGAAAGATAATATTTTTTACCTTCATTTGGAATATACAAAACTAACGCTTGTGGAACCTAAATATTTGATATATTTATTTCAACCTGAGATGTCATTTTGGTTAATATAAAAATAAATTCATTACCTGTATCAGTTGGGATTAATATTTCTTTTGAAGTAAAGATTCGGTGTAAATTGCATTTAAGTGAATTTGTTGTTTTTTGTTCGTATTTATTGGAATAATTTTTTGCAAATTCATCTCTTCATCCAGATCTTTTAACTTTTGTCTTTCTGATTTAAGGCACTTATTAATTTCATCATTTGTTTTAGGACATTCTAACGAGTTGTAGTACTGAAAATGCAAAGTATTCAGTTTCCAATAACGTTCGTTTTCGTATCTGATAGAATTGATAAGGTCTTTAAGTTCCTCCACAGTTGGTCTCTTTTCTGGAATAGGTTCCCGACATTTTTCAATAATAGATTTGCACCATCCGGGAATAGTACATGTGTTTAGTACCATAGGTCGTACTCCTTTATAGATGTCAAATACGAGATAGATATCATGACTTCGTTCACCAAACGGTCGATCACCTGTGACAATTTCGTACATAAGCATTCCAAAGCTATAAATATCTGCAGCGGTAGTATATGGCTTTCCATTTAGCACCTCTGGACTCATATATGGAAGTACGCCATAAATTTCCTGGTTAGATTTTTTTATATTTGTCGGAATGCTAAGTCCAAAATCAGCAATTTGAGGACAATTACGCATTAATAATATATTTCCAGGATGTAAGTCACGATGCACTAATTTGTTCTTGTGAATGATTGTAAGATTATAGATAATATCAAATAAATATTCTAGTTTTCGATCTTTCCAAGTTAGTTTTTCGTAGTTGGAATTAATATATTGTTGGATATCACCATCTTCTGCGTAAGTCATTACTATCGAATATTCGTTTGCAGTTGGGTATTTAGTTAGTCCATAATAATAAATATTAATATCGTAGTTGCATTTAAGCCCAGTTTGAATCTACATGTATTTTGAAAAATTTGATTGTATTAGAAAACAAAAAGTAACTGGCTATCGCTTTAGAAAATGTTTACCACGTTTATAAGCTCTGGAGTAATTTGTTCTGAATTATGTAATGATTTCAACGCAACTTCAATTTCTCTTCTTCGTTCAAATTTATTTGCTACATGATCCCACATAGTAGTTAATATATTTTTAGATAATGGACCATCCAACCAGGTTGCTTTGTAAATTGTCGCGAAACCTCCTTTTGCAATGTATTCAACGTTGGTAAAGCTTTCAGGATGAATCCATTTGAAGTATTTATTAATTTTGTTGCATTCTTTTATTAGTTTGTCGATATCTTTATCTCCGCTAGACGATCGATATTTGGAACAATCATCGCAGTACTCATTTTTTTTGACATCTCTTACATTTACTACAATCATGAGTATTGTGAGCTAAACACTCATCACAGTATCTGTTCTCTTGACATTCAGTACATTCATTGCACGGATGAGTATTTGATTCCATCTTTGAGTTCACTTTACATTTGTGAAGTTCATCAAAGAATGAATGTATTACTATCAAGTAATCGTTTGTAACTGGATTTTTAGTCATTCCATAATATGCTATCTCGGTACCGTAATTATAGCATTTAAGCCCATTTTGAATCTATTTTTTGAAAAATTTGGTTTATCAGAAATAAAAAGTAATTTCCGCTTTAGAAAAGATTTTTTTTACCTCGTTCATAATCTCCGGAGTAATTTGCTTTGAATTGTGTAATGATTTCAACACAACTTTTCTTTCACCTTTTCGTTTAAATTTATTTTCTTCATGATCCCATACTGGTAGTCGTTTCAATTCCTTTTCTTCATCATCCAACCTATCCATACCACTATCCCACCCATCCGCATAATCAAATGGTCCATCCAACCAGGTTGCTTTATAAATTGCGCCAAAACCTCCTTTTGCAAGATATTCAACGTTGGTAAATCTTTCAAAAAGAATCCATTCGAATATATTTCTATAGTTATAATTAATTTTGTTGCATTCTTTGATTAGACTGTCGATATCTTTATCTTCGCTAGACAATTCATCGTTATAAATTCGTTTGTGATATTTGAAACAGTCACCGCAGGAATTAGAGTTCCAATTGTCTTGACATGTAGTACATTTATTACAATCATGGGTATTGTGAATTAAACATTCATCGCAGTACTTATCTTCTTGACAATAGTAACATTCAACACAATCACGAGTATTTGGTTCCATCTTTGAAAATGATAAACGATAATCGACAAACTTGTGTGTGTATCTTAATTCACGTTTTATAAGATTGAAATTTGTAACGTATAAATCACCCGGGATCTGATTCGTTCAACCTAAAAAGGAAAAATTGGTACGTTTTGCAGTAAATAAAATGGTTTGGACATCACCGTAAATTCTCTCCTTTATCTAAATGCAATATAGTAACCAAGTACATGACATTGATTGCTTCATCTTTAGGTATTTTAGATATTAGAACTTATTAGTTATCAATTCAATGATATCCAGATCGCACCACGAGGAGGTTAGTTCAAAATTTGCGATCCAAAAAAATAATATTGGGTTTTTTTAGAAAAGATGGTTATTTAGGAATTAATGGTTATATATACTCCTATAACCAAAAATCCATTGTGCCGAAATAACCAAAGCAATAAGATGGATTGACTCATTCCATTAAATGATACGAGGACTCGCCGGACCAATTATTTATACCCCACGATATCCAACCTCATGGCCGGATGGTTATTTTCCTTTGTGCCGAAACAACCAAAGAAGTACGATGATCACTGATTGATTCATAAGAGAACAAAGGACTCTCAAGTCTTCGGGTTGATAACTATGAAAAGTTACTTTCTCAAGATAATCGATTAAGGATTTATATCGTCAAATATCCTTGAAAACGTCACCAATAAATCTTTGTTGAAGATTTAATTGATGAATGTGGAAACCCAATAAAAACCATATAATATTTCCTCCAAAAAAGGGGTATCTTCTTTGGAATAAAAAAATCAAAATTATTATGGAATCACAAATCCCAAAGAATTGATGATATTATTTGCCCTATCAAAATATTTTTAAAAAATAATTTAAATTCTAATTAAAAATAACAATGCTTTGAACATAGTTTAGACTTCTCCATCTTTAATCCTCATACACATCCTCACGATATATTACTGGAAATAACAAAATGAAAGTATCATTTTGAAGTCCATATCTCAAAATCCAATGATCCAATTTAAATGAAAATACTCCATCTAATTTGTCCTGTTTTACAAATTACAGTGCCCATCAAAAGTATCCCCTCTCCTGTAATTTCCAAACAATCACATGCATGACACTAAAATTTTGCATGCATGTAGTATAGCCCAAATATAGATCACACTTGCATTTTAGGGGATTATACATTAATAAAAAACAAAAGCTCCATTATACCCAAAAAAAATGCCTTTAAATTTAAGTCAATGATATGAAATCATCTTTTTGCACATCCATCTCAAGCTGTCAATACATGAGATAGCTAAAATAGTTTGCTATGATGAAAAACAGTCTATTATTAGATCCAAAGGTGGGGAGAAAACCAAGACTTGAGTAACAAACCAAAGACAGACCAACAAAGAGTGATCACTTAACAAGACAAGTGGATAGTGGAGCTTGCAAGAAAATTGATATAATGGTCCAGAAATTCAAAAGGAGATGATTAAGCAGAATTTTAACATTAGTGTACATACTATACAATGTTATCTTCATAAAGAGAAAGGCAAATACATGAGCAAGCTTTTAAAATCTCTTCTTACAGAGAAATATTAGCAAAAACAGCTGGAATAGGTGAAAAAACATAGAAACTTTGACTGTTACAAGGTGATTTTTTCAGATGAAAGTACCTTTTATCTAAATCAAGATATAAAATGGGCTTGGCAGTTTCCTGGAAGAAGAAAAATAAGCTATTCCATGAAGCATCCTCTGAAGGTCCATGTATAGAGATGTTTTTCATCCACAAACTTTGGCAAGCTGGTTTGCTTTGTAAGGAACCTCAATGTCAATTTCCTGCTAAACATATATGAAATTGGTCTTCTGCCATCTGCTAATGAACTTTTTGGTCAGGAAAATGTTCAGTGGATCCTTCAAGAAGACAATAATCCCAAGCATTGTTCAAAAATCATGAAGGCATGGAAGAAGGAAATGGATGTAAAGGTTCTTCCATGGCCATTGATATCTCCTGATCAAAACCCAATTGAAAATGTCTGGGGACTCATGAAAAATAACCTGGCAAAAAAATTAGAACTGTTAAGGGTTTGAAGGTGGAATTACAAAAAGAATGGCATCATTTACCTAAAGAATATGTGGCCCGATTAGCCTCAAGTGTAAGAAAGCGTGTAGAAGCTTTAATTGAGGCTGAGGGTGATTATATCATGTACTGACCTTGTTGTATGAAATCAGAGCTTTTAAATAAAAAAAAGATTTTTCGTTTATCTTATCTCCTCGTTGATCTAGGGAATATTTTTGACGGGCACTGTAAATGGAGTATTTTCATTTAAATTGGATCATTGGATTTTGATACTTCATTTCTGTTATTTCCGGGAATATATCGTAGGGATGTGTATATTCATTAACTCAAAACAATAAAGAAATCAGCGTATCTAACTTATAAACGCATCACGTTGGAATTCTAAAAAGATATTAGATGTATATAGAAATAGAAAATCTGAAAAGAATACTAGATTAGTATTACTTTTCGTGTTTTTATGATAAAAGAAGGGGTCTGTCGCATAAATTGAATAGAGAAAATATAGGCTCTAGGCATTTTTTATTCTTATTCATTGAATTACTATTTCTTTTACGAAACGAGACTTTGAACAAATCTAAAAATTAGGCGCGGTCAGTTAAGGAAGCTGTGGTAATTTAAATAGGCGAAGAGGTCACCATCAAAATAATTCAAAAACGTGATGTAAAGTATCAAGAGGAAGAATGTTCCATTAATTGGTCGCGCATTTATATATAAGCTACTTATAATTGACTTCATAAAAAAAGCGCAACAAGGTGGTGAATTATTTGATCGTATGTGTAATCGCGAAGCTGATGCTGTAGAAGTTACAAAAACAGTACTTATGGCAGTAGCATATCTTCACGCGAATCATATCGTACATCGTGGTAATTATTATGTGTATTTCTTGATTGATTGTTATTTACACTTTTGAAAGATCATTTATTATTAGATTTAAAACCAGAGAATTTATTATATAAGAATCGAGCACCTGATTCCGCTCTAGTACTGGGTAGGTAATTGATAAATAGAGCAAATTATAATATCGATCAATTTAAAAATGTAGTAATTCATTTTTTGCTAAATGTTTAGAACTGCAAAAGTCATGAAAGATGACGATGATATTCTAACTACTTATTGTTGGTTACGTCGGTAAATTTTTGTCTCTTACGACTTCAATCATCTTAGTATATCATCAATATAATAGTAATTTAATATACATATGATTCTTGTAATAGCACCAGAAATTTTAAATCGAGTTAGATATAATAAATTTGTGGATCTTTGGAGTATCGGGTATTTTAAATGAATAATTTTCTTAAATTAATTAATAAATTAGAATTGACCTCATTTATATAGGATTATTACATACTGTATGCGCTGCATGTTACTAAATGTTGATCAGATGAGCTTTATGCGAATGGAATTGAATTCTCGATTTAATGAATATACTGTATGTAGATTATGTGGTTATGCACCGCCTCGTAATGAGGATTGATTTGCCACAACCGATGAAAGAAATGGCTTACGCGCGTAGAGTTTCACGATCGCTATTGGAGAAACATTTCATCAGATGGTATTATTATCCAACATATTCTTCTTTTTTGCGCTATTCAAAACTTAATCAACCATGATAAATATTAAACAAAGAATGACCCTGACACTTATTATTTTTTATAAATATTAAGCCAAAGAATTGATTATCCACCTACTAAATTACGATCCGGAAAAAGGCCGACCGCAGCAACCAATATCCAAATGTAGAACAATTAATACCTTTAGATTGGTAATAATAACTAGTTTGTTTAACGAATACACAAATATTTTTAATAGATTAATTGTGCGCTTAATAATAATTTTGGTACATTTGGCGCAGTAATCTGTCCATTTGGCATTATTCCGACCATTTCGTACATTATTTGGATCATTTCATATACATGAAAGAGGATAGTTTTAACTTAGTTTTCGCTCAAATGTCCAAAATATAGATTAGAACATAGACTAAAACATATACCGAATAGGTTTCTAAATTAATCAATTGGATTGATAACAAGGAAAATAAATCAATCGGATTGAAATTACTACTACGAGGAGTCGTGATCAATTAAGTCTAATGACTTTCATCGTCTGTGTGATAGTAAAGGTCCAACAGTTGTCGCCATTCGCCTAAAAATGAAGAAATGATTAATTGTAGTTATAATCCATTTGAATGGAATTCGCTTGAGAGAGATTATAGCAATTTAAATAACTTTTAAAAACGGCTTTAGTGTGAGGTACTATGCAAATCATGGACCGATTTTTGGAGGTAGTTTTGATTTAGACTTATATGGTACTAGTTTTAATACTTCTAATAATAATTAAATGTACTGTAGAAAATCTTTCTTTAAACATAGTTTATTGAGCTATGATGGAACAAAGCATTTACTGTTGCAGATTATGAAGTATAACATCTATATTAATGAATTAATTTTTGTTTTCATTTATTATTTAAAGAAATATATCTTACTATGGCAATTTATGGATATATACCTTAAATATAATCCCTAATTAATGGGATTTAAAATGTATCATAACAATCTGCTAACGTGTATTGTGTTGAAAAGATTCTTAAAGCTTATGCCCCAAATTTGATACTTTCTACTATATCAATATGTGTTACATTTTTCTGCTTCGAGCTGTTTCTGCGGGAATATCATCATACTATTCATGCGTAAAGGAAGACATAGTGATGTGAAGCTTATGCCACCTATATACATTTAAAATGACTTAGCGTTAAAATTTCTGCCACAATTCTAGTGCAATTTTTTATTTTACAATGACAGTGTATGTCTCACGAGCGTTTTACGAGTGATGGTAAGACACAGTGAAGTAGAATTTAAGCTCAAAAGATTACGTAAGTATTTCATTAAAAATAGTGACAACGCGTTAAATTTCGTAACATTACTAGATTGTAAACAGATCAAATGTCCTAAATTATGATTTGCCGGAAGAATGTGAGTGAACAGATTTCATTTTCATTGAACCAATCATGCAAGTTAAAAGCATTTATAAAAATTCATTTCAAACATCCATGTGCATATATCGATATAAACGTATTTATAAGGCGAACTCAAAAATGAAATCGAATACTTATGATTGAAATAGTATATCGATCGATATAGAGATACTACGGAAAATAAGGACCACACCGGATATTTTTTATATTACAAACGAATTTGTATCGATGAATTGTCTAACGGATATAAAGAAATCGACAGTCAGAATGCAAAAGTAATATATTCGAAATGGTTCCTTTTGAAAGATTTACCAACATTGAATAGCTTGCAAAAGGAGGCTATGGGTCAATTTATAAAGCAACCTTATTGAATAGTCTATTGAGGATTGGGATTATGCGAAGATAAATTTAACGAAAAGGAAGAGCAATTAAAGTTGTGCTGAAATCATTATACAATTTAAAGCAAATTATTCCGGAATTTATACACGAGGTAAAAAATATACAATTTCTAAAGTGAAGTTGCTTCTCGTTTTCTGAAAAATTTAAGAGATTCAGCTTGCTCATAAACGCAATGTCGGTCGTATTAATTATTATGGAATAGCTAAAATCATCCACGGGGAGAAATCAGTACATCGTGACTTACATCCTGGAAATATATTAATGCACAACAGACCTGCTATTGCTGATTTTGGACTTAGCATTCCAACAAATATAGAAAAATCAAATAAAGAAATTTATGGAATACTTCCTTATATGAGTCCAGAGGTCTAAGTGGAAAGCCATACACTTAAAGCAGCAGATATTTATGGCTTTGGAATGGTTATGTACGAAGTTGTAATTCGTGAACGATCATTTGGTGAGCGAAGTCATGGTATACATCTTGTATACGACTTCTATAAAGAAGATACCAAATAATGTTCCTCAAATGATACAAACTTATTATTGTGATACATATTTCTGTCAGAGATGACAGTGGAGTGTGAATTCAGTATTACAGCTCTTTAGGATATCCTAAAACTAATGAAGAAATTAAAGAGTATCTTAAATTATAAAGGCAGAAATTGAGAGAGGAGATGAAATTACGAAAAAGAATTCTTACAAATTTACAAATAAACCAATACACTCAAATACAATTTACACAAGTAAAATATTTACTTCAAATTATTTATCAATCCCAACTGATATAGATACGCACATTATTTTTATAATCAAAATGACAGTTCAGATTGATTTTAAATATATTAATATATTAAATATTTAGGTTCGATAAGTGTTAGTTTCTATTTCCAAATGACAATAAATATTTGCTTTGATGGACATCATTAACTGGAAAATGGGATTATGAAAAAATAGATTTAAACGACGCTTAGAAAGAAAAGTTTGTTGAATCATTACACAATACAAAACAAATTAAGAGTTTGTATATTAAGTAAACATTTTCTAAAGTGAAACTTGCTTTTTATTTTCTGATGCAAGCAATAATTATTTCAGAATAACTAGAAACCAATTATATATTCGATAGTGATAGATTAGGCAAAAGATGGTCAGTAAATATACTATAAAAAATTGACTTGGTAACAAAAATTAGAATACCATCAAGTGTACCCCACCCTCCCTCGTAAAAAATTTAAACTCCAATTTTAATCTCAAGGCTAGTAACCAAAGTTTTTAAAGAATTGCACAGTGAATTTAAATTTATCTATTAGTGAAACAAATATATGGTTCTATTGGAATAAAATCAAGATTAAATTGAGATTTAAATTCCTTAGATTTTTTACAAAGGGGTGGGGGAATACTAGACAGAACACTTTACGGTATTTAAATTATATAATCTATAATCTGAAATAATTCACAATGAAAAGTTTGTACATCGTGACTTCCATCCTGGAAACATATTAATGCTGAACGTTGAACCTTTTGGTGAACGAAGTTATGATACATACTTTGTATGAGATATATAAAGATGTACGGTCCACGATACCAAATACTATTCCCGGATGGTGCAAATTTATTATTGAAAATGTTGGGATCCTATTCTAGAACTTTTGAGACTTTATAATATCTATCAATATAAGCATGAAGATAATAATTGTTTGAATAATTTGCAGTACTACAGTTCTTTAGAATTTTATGAGACAAATTAAAGAATTGTGTTAAACTAGATAGAAAGAAATTGAAAGAACTTAACGAAGAGATGAGATGAAATTATAAAAAAAGCAATTCTTACAATGCATTTTCCGCTAATCGAATGTTTATTTTAAAAATTAATATCAATTCCAACTGTTACTGGAACTCATATTTATTTTTATAATTCAGACTTCAAATATATCAAATATTAAGTTCTATTAGTGTCGTATATTCGAATGAAGGTAAGCTTACATTTGATAACATTATTTCATTAATTATTAATTTATTTTTCTTTGATGGTAAAAACAGATTTCAATATTAAAGATATCTTTAAAGAAAAACTACAGATTTAAATATTAATGTTACCTGATTTTATAACGAACCAAAATGATTTCAATTTCTTGAAGATTACGCGTACATTTATTACTTTAGTCCATTACTTTTATCATAATCAAAATTTATTTCTGTTTCTTATGTATTCATGTTGTTTTCGTGAAGGATATAAAAAGAATTTCTATTTTCTTTTTAAATCATACTAAATCACTTTTCACAATATTTGTCTAATTTCCATATAGTCAATTTAATTTTATGCACTCTACGTCTAGTCGTTATTTCATATAACGCGCGCGAATTTAGATAGACAAATCATTTTATGAATGAGCTCTATGACGGAATCTGTAATTCAGAGTATTCATATTTGATTGTAAAGGAAGTAGTAAAAGCTGAATAGCATAGCAGATTTTTTAACCATTTGGTGTCAACAAGACGTGCTCGAATTATATTAAATTTTTATATAATATATTATAATGTATGTCCCAACTCTTTTTGGCATAGTATTTAATAGATTTGATCCATTTCATTTGTATTTTATTCCATAAATCTTCACGACCACTGATGTTGTGAGTATCAATTTCGTTCCGAAATTTTTTGATGAGGATTGTGCTGGCCAATCTAAATTGTAATATTATGAATAAATTACATGTGTTTAAGGTTGCAAGAAATTCATCTTTAAGCATCTTTTTATAAAGAGCTTTATTCATCGATTCTATAATAGTATCTACCACTAAAACTACTAAAAAAATCTCATAACTTAACAGAATACCTACAAACTTTATCATCGGCTTAACTTATTGTGGACGCAAAGGTGAATTTGGATTTTTCAACATCATTCTCTCCATCTGAACTAAAAATCATAAATTACTTTCATCTAACTATATCACCTTCTTCCAATCCTCTACAGTCTCGTTTCATGATTTTTCCACGAACTTGTTTCTTGCGATTCTACGTCATTTAGAAGTAATGGTTTAGATTTTTTTTACTTTAGCTACTAAATCTTGTCTTTTTAATGAGAATCGAATTGTATTTGAAGAATCAATTACAGTGGCTCAGGGAATAAATGGCACACAGAATATTATTAATTAGTAAAATTTTAATTTCAAATAGTTTTGTTATCAGGGAGGATTGAAGTGGATTAATCTAATAAAAAATGTGAGGATTATCAACATGTACCAATTTTCAGCTAAATTGATACCAAATTTGTTTAGTTAATAGATCCCGAAATACCAGATTAATACAAAATAAAGAGATAGTTGAATTTTTTTAATGGGATCTAATAACTAACGAATTTGGTATCAATTTAGCTGAAAATTGGTATGTTGGTAATTCTCATTATGAATCATATTTTTTATTAGGTTAATCTATCATGTAGATCACTCAATTTCTTTAGAATTTTAATATATTTTTTAGGCTTTCTTTAGTTATTCTCTAGGTTATTAGCTTTAAAATGAGTATAGGAACCTAGGTGCATCTAATCGATGCTAGAGAAACTAGAGCTTTGTTTCCCGTGTTCCATTTATTTTCTGAGCCACTGTATATTGGTGCAGAAATTAATTTTTCTGAACTTGAACCGCATTAGAACATTTACCTGATTTAATAAATTGTGAATATTTCTATCATAACGCTCAGTAAATATTCGGGGACGATCTGTTTTTGATATAACATTAAAGTGTTTATTCTTGCAACAATAGAGTAACTAATTTTTCACAATATCCTTCTGTAATAAGAGTATAGATACGGATTTGTTGGTCAAGTGGAATTCTTTCATTGTTTTGAACACAAAATATAACGCGCATTAATTTGCGAAGTATCCTAGCCACGGCAAAGAAAAAGTGTCAGACATGCGATTTTTATTGGGGTAAAACTAATTCAAACAAACGTTTATTTTTGAAAATAGCTTGTT